TTACAGATTCTGTTTATGCAATAATAATTTGGCAATTTATTTATTACTATTTAATCACATATTATTTGAATACTAAATTAAAAATATTCAATTTTAACTTTAAAACTCTTTTAACAATTATTCCAAAGAAAAAGAAAACAAACTTATTTAAATTAAATGCGGGTTCAATTAGGGAATTGTTTAAAATCTATGATGAGATCAATGAATACAATGATATTTATTGGTCTAAATATTTATTAATTATTTGGTTTACATTTAGTTGTCTCATATCGACTATGACTTATCTCGTGTTTTTTAGTGACACTAATATATTTACTATAACTGCATGTTTAATGTTTTTAATTGTATTTACACTAATCCTGATGTTTATAATCCGTATTTCTTCACTCATATATATTGAAGCAAATAATTCATACAATTTATTAAATTCAATATTTTGTAAAAATAATTTAATTATTAGTCAATCAACTAAAATAAAGGTTTGTGTAAAAATTATAATTTAAATATTTGTTATATTTATTTATAAAATTATATATTTTATAGTTATTAACACTAATTGAAAGAATTGGTACTAAAAAAGTAGGCTTTTATTGTTGGAAATTATTTATTATAAACACTTTCAGGGGATTTGAGGTCTGAAAATATAAATATAAATAATAATATTTATAATTATTTCATTTTAGATAATCTCAATGATTGTGATGCTATACTTAAAACTACTCAATTAATTATAATCAGTATTTATAAATCTAGTAATCTAACATGATGTAAACATCTTTATAAGTGTGCATACATAAAATCTTATAATTATTAATATTTTAATATATACCATATTAAAAATGTATAAATTTATAAATTTTATTCAATATCAGATTTGAACAAATTATGGGAATTATTGCTCTAAAAATATTAAACCATTGAAACACTGGAGTCGGTCAACACATTAACAGTTGACAATTTGATTGAGTCAATTGAACCAAATTTTTGTATAATTGTGACAACAATTGACCACAACTTCAATGCATATGATTTTGTTGCGAATCCCAAAAGGATTTTGGATATCAATTGTTTGTTTCACATCTCATGAGTACTGGCGCTGCAAATGCTCGCCATTAAAGACAATGCAAACAATAGTCTCTCTAATAATAATTTCTATCAATAAGAAGAATTAGTTGAATTGTTTTATATTTGTTTAGAAAGCGTGTTATAGATTAATAAATATAATATTGATATTTTTAAACTTAATGAGATCCAAATTATATAATTTTATATTCATTATAACTATAAAATTTATCTTAATTTCTATTTTATGTAAGATTATTTTAATGAATTGTTTATTATAAGTATGGAAAAATTGGTAAATAGCATGTTAAGTATTAATTAATTAATAATTATTAATAAAGAAATTAATTATTAATATTGTGTTTTAATGTAAAACGATTACTTTGTATAATAAATAATAATAAATTTCACATTAAGGTAAAGAATAAATTAATTAGGCAAAAATTTTAATCGAGTTTCATTTTCACAATGTGTAATACATTAATACATTAATACTTTATATTATAGTATCTCTAGTTGAATAAAATAATACAAGTTAAAGTTGTTTTTATATTTCAAATACAAAATATATACCATATTTAACTTTCTATAATGGGTGACGAACAAACTAGACTACAGTTTAAACCCGAGCACATTCTACCACCAGAACTGGTCATATCTGACGCCGGCACTGATCTCTACAGAATTGGTTTATCACAATATAATACACATAACAGCCATAGAAACACATTTCGGAGACCAATACTTATATTCATTGTATCGTTAATACAATCAATTCGTTCCGTATGTATGATAACAATGGGTGAACAAAATGAACGGTTTTATGTAGTTTTGGGTGATATCGGATATTTCATGAATGTCCGGATACAAACAAATATATCCATTTTATTAATTGTAATGCAAAGTTTGTGTTCACAATTAATACAGTTTTATAACTACATGTCGGGTATAAAACCCAATGATTTGCGTGTATTTCAAGTGATGTCGGGTTTGATTGCACCCAAAAGTATTGGTCTCAACGATAGGGATGTGGTGTTGAAGTTAAGGAACGTTTTTAACAAAACATTGCATTATTCTCATTATGCAATAAAATGTTGTGAAATATTAACAGTATTAATTGTGGCTATAATTTATTATGCTAACTTTTCTACGATAGATATTATTGTTTACGGAATAACTAATACTATATTCTGGATGCTTGTGTCCGAGTTTTCATGTACTATAATGATCTGGCAATTTGTATTATACTATTTAATCACATATTATTTGAATATTAAATTAAAAATATTCAATTTTAAGATGAAGACATTTTTGTCTATTATTGTTACAAGAAAAGTAATAACTAATAGAAAAATATTTAAATTAAATACTGTTTCAATCCGAGAATTATATAAAATCTATGATGAGATCAATGAATACAATGATATTTATTGGTCTAAATATTTGTTAATCATTTGGATTGTATTTAGTTGTCTCATATCAACGGTTACTTATCTCGTGTTTTTTGGTGACAGCAATATATTCCCTAAAATAGCATTCTTTTTGTATTTAATCGGATTAACACTAATCCTGATGTTTATAATCCGTATTTCTTCACTCATTTATATCGAAGCGAATAATTCATACAAATTATTGAATTCAATATTTTGTGAAAATAATTCATTAATTAATCATTCATTAAAAATTAAGGTTTGTTTTTTAAATGTCTTACATTAATGTTATATTAATTTTATTTATAATTTTATAGATATTAACACTTATTGAAAGAATTGGTACAAAAAGAGTGGGTTTTTATTGTTGGAAATTATTTATTATAAACACTTTCAGGGGATTTGAGGTCTGAGAAAATTATTATTTATAAATTACTTTATAATAATGTTTTCAATTATTTCATTTCAGATAATCTCAATGATTGTAATGCTGTACTTAAAACTGCTTAATTGATCACTATTTATATATTTAGTAATTGTAACAAAATGAGATTTATCAATATTATTATTAAAACCATATTAATATTATCCAAACCTGACTCACAAACAGATTAGAAACGGTTATAAACTGATCATTATTTGTGGCCACAAATGTTTGAAGGCATTGAAATATATGGTTATTTAAATAAAAGTTTATTTTTTAAAACATATAAATTATATAATTTCTAACGAGGACAGCTAGTAATATTGTAAAATTATAATAACTTTAAATCAAATGATTGTATCTAATGGAAATTTTTAAGGTTTTATGATTAGTGTACATAAAATAACATATTAAGAAATAGTTATAATGAACTAACATTTTTTGTTAAAGTGAATAGTCTAACTTATATACTGTACAAATTGTACAATATTGTCTCTTGTATTAATACACGGTCAATATTATTGCCACGTTTATCACATCATAATATTATTATTTAATACAAAATTATAATAAATTGAATTAAAAATATTATTTTAACTAAAATTAGTTATAATTAATTAAACCATATAATTTTAGCATAAAATATATTGCAACTAATGTCAACTATGAATGTGTCTAAACACGCTTCACAGGTAAACAAATTAATAATTATAGATTATTTTAATTTCAAATTATAGTCACAGACATACGCGAAGAACTCAATGGACAGATTCGGTGACGATTTGTGTGCACTTCTTGTGTCTTACTTCTCATTTAAAGACCGATTCCGTTACGAATGTGTGTCCAAACAGTTCCAGAGGACAGTCTTCACGAGTGTTGTGGACATCAATTTGAACGATATATACATGAGAAATACAAAGAAGATTATATTGACTAAAACGATGTCCAAAATTGCCATTAAGTGTCCAAACATTGGAGCCATCGCTTGCGGGACAAGAAATGGACAAAGAATTGAAAAGTGGCCCGAATTGATGCAACCATTTCGAGATAATTGTCGGCATTTACGGCATATTTACTGCAACTTCATTGGAAACACCGACCGATGGGGTCCTCAATACTGGCCTCTTATGACACAAATATATGTGTTTAACGAGGATTTAAATAAACAATCACTCATTCATTGCCACCGATTGTCACAACTACGGGTCCACTCGTTGTCGGATGTCTTCGACACCACTTCCGGACAATTACTGGTAAAGAATTTACAGAAATTTGAGTTTTCCTGTAATGCAAGCTATAGTAGCGGACAGTTGTCCGCATTTGTGGCCAGCAATCTGTGCCTCAAAAGTATTGTATTTATTAATCACAACACCGAGAGTTTCATTGAATTTGCGGATCAATTGTCACTATTACCACAATTAAGGGAACTAAAAGTGGAATTACACCTTGATCAATCGTTTCAAAACTCTTTGCGTCCAATTGGTGTGAATTGCAAACAATTGAAACGATTGGCACTCGTATTGCACTCCAGAATACAGAAAGTGAATGACAAAACTCTTGATTCGTTACGATTTTATTCACGAATACAACGATTGAATTTATCAATCCTTTCACCCATTGATAGGCAATCATTGGTACCGTTGAGACACTGCCGACGGTTAACACATTTAACATTGAATTTGGATTTTATGTTATATAAGTCTTTATTTTATAATTGTGACCAAATGTGGCCACGGGTTCAATGCCTGACTATACGGTTATCATGTGTGTTCAATGTGACCTGGTTAACATCAATATCAACACTACCGGCGCTGCAATCATTGATTATTTGTCAAAAGGGACAGTATTTGCATCGTCTGAACGATAATTATTTCAAAAACCTGTTGTCTTCGAGTCCTAAACTCAAGACAATTGAAATCCGTGTAAACAATGAGAAGAAGTTTTATTCAAAGTAAAACTTAAATGACTTTTATATAATGTTTTTGCCTTTCAATTAAATGTGAATTAACTTTATTTTGTTAAGAAAATTAATAAAATAATTTTTTTCCCGAAAATAAAAAATTAAATATTATGTGAAATATAATTTATTCAATATCTGTGCCCAACAGTGGAGTCAAAGCGCTGGCGTTGTAGTGCATCCCTCCGTCAACCACTAGATTAGCGCCGGTTATAAACTCGGCATCACTTGAGGCCAGAAATGCTACGGCTTTGGCCACATCCAGGGGCTGACCGATACGTTTCAATGGCGTAATATCACTGCATTTGTCAAACACTTCCGCCGGTTCCAGCTTTTCGGTCACTTGTATAGCACCGGGACTACAATAGTGTATAAAAATTACAATCAATAAAAAGTTTCATAAATAATAAACATATGTATAAATAGGTTTATTAATAGTTTAAATACACACTTAATTGTATTCACGCGAACCCCTTTAGGACCCAATTGTAGGGCCAATACTCGAGTCAACATATCTAAGCCAGACTTTACCGGTCCGTACACCAGGTTTATACTCATCTAATAATTGAACAAGAACGATTGAAATATTATTTATTTACCATAATTATATATTATTATAAGCATAAAATAACATACGGGAGCGATGCCACCGATGGCTGATATATTAATTATAGTGCCCTTTGATTGGATGAGATGCGGGATAGCAATATGTGTCAGCTCGAGCACCGATCGGAGGTCCAGACTGTAGAGTTGGTCCCATTTGTCCATAACGTCCGGTGCAGTGATTAGTGTCCGCGCGGACCGAATGCCGGCGTTGTTGACCAACACATCGAGTTTGCCGTAAGTCTTAACGGTCTCATCGATCACACGCTTTAAGTCCGAGCTTTTGGTCAAATCTGCCGTCACTTCTAACGGCTGTGAAGTAATTAATTAATTAATTAACTCAATAAATTAATATTAACTTTTATGTTATGCTATTGGAATACTGTATGTACATATTATACTATTGTTAAATTTAACTTTTAATTAAATAAAACATTTATTAAAAATTTATTTATGGATTAAAACATACGGCTATCTTGTGAGGAGACAATTGATGGCACTGTTTGGCAACTTTGCGTACGTTATCGGCTGTCCGGGCGGTGACCACAACGTGAGCGCCCAATACTGCAAACAGTTTTGCAATACCGGCGCCGATGCCCGACGAAGAGCCCGTCACGAGTACTACTTTACCCGTAAAGTCACGTGATTTGGCCACTTGTCGGTAGTCATTAGCACTGAAATCACCCGACACTGCAAATAATACAAATAATGTGTTAATCAATTTATAATATACGTATGTAGGAAAATTAATTAATAATTTACTTTTGTTTTTAGTAATTTGCTTAAGAATTAAGTTTACTGATTAGAAAAATTTTAGTATTCTATTCAACTTGTATTTTTTACCTTGTTTATATACCCATGTTTTGTAATACTGTATGACATACATTTACATTTATATCTTATCATTTTCAATATAGCAAGTTTAAGACTTTTGGTACATTACAAGTCCACATAACCTAGATTTGGTAATTAAATAGTAATTTTAAGTGTATTTCTTTGTGATGTAAAGTTAAATAACTGGCTAGTACAATTGAACAAGTTCATTTCTTAAAATCAGTACGTGCTGTAGCTGATAATACCGCATAAATATTGTGATTATTTATAGCTTAAATATAAGTATAAGTTAATAATGTACTTGAAATATGTTTAATCTAATCTAATATAACAAAACAGTCCCTGATGCACTTATCAATGTTATCTGATATTTGTACTGTATGTGAAACTGTGCGTTAATAACAATAATTATTAGAATTTTTAATACATTTTATTTTTTATTGTGTTGAAAAATGTATTTTAGTTAATGTTTATTAAAGACAAGATTTGGCCCGGGTACAGCAAACAGTAAACTTGACCGCCCTAAACTTCACCCACTTCACCCTATATGAGACAATTTGTGTTGAATACTTATTGAAAATTAATGGTAATTTATTCATTATTAAAAGATTAAAAGTTTATTAAATTAAATATGTAAAAATTGTTTTAATTAAATGATATTCAAATAATAATTTAATTTAATAAAACTATCACCTAAAATAAAGATAAATGCGCATAAAAACGGAATTACTTGATCCTGTATAAAATTTAAAATAATTAGTGAATTTATCTCAACTAAATTTTAACAGTATCATTGATATCAAGTGAAAAAGTCTATAAAATTTCATTAATTTACCTATACCCATTCGTAAGATATAAATTCATAACTGTATTAAAATTTACCCGCGTTTTAACACTACACCAGATTTCGGGAATAATAGAGAAAAAAAAATTTTTAATTCAAGATTTTGATTATATATTTGTTATAAAATCATTTCAATGGTTTAGTTGTGTTATAAAAAAATATTTTTATCAACTTAAATGAATTTTCATGACCCCACATAACCACCATTTTTGATCAAATTTACCGTTTTATAAGTTCGGGACCGGTTCAGATCAGGTTGGCCAGGTTTGATTACGCTTAAACTTTTAAAAATTGTTATCATATATTGGTAGAATAGTTTAATTAATTAATGTTTTGTTACAATCATCGGGAACAATACTTGGTCAAGTGAGTTCCGACGGTGACTTTCCAAAACTTTTTAGGGCCTAAAATTGAGGCCATCGGGTCATTTAAAATATTTTATTATACAAGATTGTTTGAGGAACAAATTAATAGACGTAACTATTTAATATAAAAAAAATTTCGAGTTAAATTTAGTAGTTATTTTTAATTTTCCTCTGAATTAAATGATTCCGGCACATTGACACATAAACACATTGAACTTTATGTTTGTATTAATTCAATTACAATTCAATTTACTATTAAATTACGTGATAACTTTAAAATCAATTAAAATACTCGTCAATCATATCGCCAAACATCGTATTCATTGCCCCCATATTATGGACGAGTCCCCCGTCGACAAACAGATTAGCGCCGGTTATAAACTGGGCATCAGTTGAGGCCAGGAATGCCACGGCTTTGGCCACATCCAGGGGCTGACCCAACCGTTTCAATGGTGTGAATGAACGAGTCTTTTCCCAAACAACGGGTGGATCCAACTTATCGGTCACTTGTGTGGCTCCGGGACTATTAGTGACGCAAATGAAATATTTAATAATTAAAATATTACAAAACATTTTATTTAAACACATACTTAACAGCGTTAACCCTAACACCGGACGGTCCCAACTGTAGGGCCAGCACTCGTGTCAGCATATCTACAGCTGCTTTAAGGGGTCCGTACGCTAGTTCTGTGATCATCTAATTATAATATAAACAATGGTATCATAATTAAAACAATAGGTACAGGATAACAACCTTAAGCAACCATGATAATAAAGCATCGAAATAACTTTTCGGAAATTGGTTAGAACGTAATTTGTTGATCAAATTTAGCCGAAAATTTTCAAATGATGATTTGATTTGAAAGAGTATTTATTGAGTGACAAAACACTGCCATTCATTTGTCTGTATGTCCTGTGGTTTAGGAGTAATCCTCTCCCGAAGAAGTCCACTCCCGAAACAGCTCTGGCAATGTTATCCAATGGCAATCATTATATTCAACAAATAAATATGATGAAATTTTTAAATTGGCTGGATCAATTGTTAAAATTTGTATCAAATTGTTATTTTCTTTATTTAATCTTTAAACAAAAGTACTTTACGGCATTTTATTATCTCTTTTTAAAAAAGTGCCATGGTCATTGTGCCAAAGCTATTTCTGGAGTGCATTTCTTTTCGATGCCTTATTATAATGGAATTACTGAACAGCTGTCAAATTAAATTATGGTAATTTATGTTATCAATTTAAGTCTTAAATTTTAATATTTAATTCATTATTTTGATAAAGTGATAATTGATTATATTTAATAATCATAATTAATATTGATTAAATTATATTAATCATCTTATTAGATAATTTCCAGTATATTATTCTGTGATCAAAATCTGACTAATAAATAAATAATGTAAAATTACTAACATCATATGGCAAAAATTGAACACTATTAATACATTTGTAATTGCATTAATTAGTGTTATATTGATTATTATAGTATGCTCTCTCTCTCGCTCTCTCTCTCTCTCTCTCTCTCTCCCTCTCTCTCAAAATACATTTTATAAGTATTAAAATTATAAATAAACCTTTTATTTAAATAAAGGTACGCTCTCTCTTTCTCTCTCTTATTATAAGTAATATTGTATTTGTAATATAAAAAATATTTTTATATTATCGGATAATTAGAATTTATTGATTAAATGCTAATTATTTTATGATAACTTTTATATAAATAATAATAATTATTATTATATATTTTTTGAATTGAATTATTATTATTTTTCTGCCTTAAAGTAAAAAATTTAGTTTTACAAAAGCCTTTTGATGGGAATAAACCATTTGTTTGTCATTTTAATAATTATAATAACGTTTTGCGAATAACACGAATTGAATTGAACACAAAATAACCTTTATTTAAATAAAAGGTTTATTTATAATTTTAATACTTATAAAATGTATTTTGAGAGAGAGGGAGAGAGAGAGAGAGAGAGAGAGAGAGATTTCCAATAATTTTTATTATATTTATTTATGCATATATGAGTTGTGCTAATCTTGTGCGGGTTGTTTGATAAGCTAATTTTGTGTAAAACTTTAATTTTATTTATTTGTCTACATGATTAATTTCATGTTTTAATTAAAATAATAAAAGTCATATGATAAATACGTTATATTAGATTTAATACCTATAAGTATTATATATTTTTAAATATTAGTATTTTGTTTCTTTGCAGACAGTACGAGAATAATAAATCATCACGCTTATAATAAATTTTACTTTGTAAGTTTATATTTAATGTGTTAATTGTACACAACAAATTTTATTTATACATCAATTTTTATTTTAACATCTAGATAACATTTAATAATGTCAAACATCTTTATATACACACAACCACTTGGATATTTATTTGATCTAATTCGCTACACTATATCATATATAATAAATCAATAGATGTACAGAACAAATGAAGTTCACCATGCATAGAAAGTGGATACATGATCCTGATTAGGCGTGAGGTTATTTTTTAATTTAAATTTGTAATAACTTAAAATTTAATAATATCAAACACCTTTATAATATACTAACTACATATTGGATGTTTATTTGGTCTAATTCGCAATTATATACAAAGTAGCGAATTAGACCAAATAAATAGGCAAATAATCTATCGCGACAAATGAAATTTATCATGCATACAAACTGGATGCATGGCTCTAATTAAACTTTATTTTTAACTAAAATTAATTTAATCAAAGTAAAATTTTATTTATTATTTTTTAAAACAGTTAACAATGTCAAACACATCTGTATATCCACTAACAATTGGATAATAATTTGATCTTATTTGATTCACCATCTATAGTAAGTTTAATTATTATGGTACATTACAATACTACAACTGTAATGTACCATATATAGAAAGTGAATCCATCACTTTGCATACAGACCAGGTTATTTCTAAACATAGATGTATTGGCTTAATGTTTATATAAGTGGACTTTATAGTAAGGTTATGTTTGACCCGGTCTAAAATTTTTTTGTTATGAGCCAGGTCAGCGGTTCAAACTC